ATGTGCAATTTTCCACATGTGAGCTTCCAACGGAAACGTGTGTTATTTATAACTACGTCAAAATTCTTTTAATGAAAAAATATTGTAATAAATTTGAGAAAATTAGTGTTTAATTATTAATTTTATTTTGTCGGTATAATGTAGTCGGCATACGAGTTCGACTCGCTCTCTTATTAATTACACAACTGTTTTAAATAAAAATTAATAGGAAACAGGGCACATGTAATACACAAACATATTGTTAAGTAGTATAGCGTTATGTGTGCGTGTTTTTATGTGTTTGTTTATATGTGTACGAATGCAAAGAATGCATATGACAGTATTATTTTGCTAAAGGAAACTAAATTGACATTATGCTCTGTGAACATAGTTATCTCTAACATGTACCTTAAATGAAATATATCCGTGTTGTAGTAAAATCCTTATGTCTTGTTTCTATTATTTTATTGTCTATTATCTAATACTTATTTTATACATTCGCACAAAGTATTATTTTCACGCAGAAAATAAAGAATTTGCACCCAATTTCCGATAAAACGAAACTGGTAAGAACTACTTACATGTCCAATTTTACTACAGGCAACGATAACAAGCCACAAAATTAATTAAGAGAAAAGAAAAAAAAACAAATACAGAGGCTTCAAATCTTCATAAAATTATGTGAATGTAGGAAATAAAACATTCAAGCTTTCAACGTATAGTACATGCATAGTATACAACACAATAAAAGCTAACATATTTTAATGTATGGTTATTATACGTTATATTATGACGTAAATAGCAGTTAGTAGTGTTTTGCGGCGCTGAATTTATACGCATATTTTTCTTGCGAATCAAACCCCCTCTAACCCTAAGCTCATTTGCTCCACGGTCGTATTCAGTTCACGTTTCGTTCGTACAAAACGCGAAACCGCCTATTTCGAAGGTAAATTGTACATTTGAATATGATAGCGTTGCGAAATAAGAAATCTGGCGACGTGCGCGGACTGCGTTCGGAACGGGCGAAAAGCTTTTTTTTTCCAGAATCCAAAATATTTTACGAAATAGATTTGAGAAAATCACGTTTTAATACACAAAATAAAAAAAAATGTGCCCTTTGGTCAATATTCCTTTAGAAGTAAGGTCAGGTGTTTTATTATTTATATTTACATATTAACTTCATAGCACCAACAGAGTAGACACCATAACAAATTAAAAGAAAAGGAACCAAAACATAAGATTGTGTATTTATTTTATATATGAACATTTTTTATGAGAAGGTGACAAGCGAACCAGCGGTTCACCTGATGTTAAGTGATAACCGCCACCCCATGGACATTTGCAATACTCGTAGGGCTGCAGACACGTTGCCACTTAATAATAAGTGGGCCCCGGCTATCTCACTCACCAGACGAAATGCAGAAGTATAACACTTCCACTTCACGCCGGTCTTCTGTGAGGTCGTGGTACTTACCCGGACGGACCTGCTCATTAATGCCATAGCCGAAGCGTGGCCCTACGACAGTTGACATATTTTTAAAGTAAAATAAAGTATACATGTCCCACTGCTGGGCAAAGGCCTCCTGCGGATTGGCGGACTTCACTTATCTTCGCAATTTTTTTTTGTTATTATTTGGAAAATATGCAGGTTTCCTCACGATGTATTCCTTAACCGCTGAGCACGTGATAATTGGGATCGAACTCAGGTTGCTCGAGTATATTGAATTAAAGGCGCGCCCCCGGACACTGAGCTATCACGGCTCACTATATAATAATATTAACCCACTATATATCAATATTAATTACTTCTTATTTCATCAAATGTCTAGTGACTGGATAAAATATAGAGAAACTGAAATCGACCTGGATAGCTGGCCTAGATATACTGTTTCGCGAAGTTAAAAAAAAGAAGGTTTTGACGAACTGATAAATGACTTTCACTAGAGCCTTGGGGAGGCATCATATGTACAGATGGACACAAAACTATTATATTTAATCAAAGTCTAAGTCGAAATTTCTTTATTCAATATATTCTTAATTAAAGCCGTTATTGCACGTCAAAAAAAAAAGAACTACAACCGGTTCACTAAACTAGACCTGACCAGAGAAAAACTGGCAAGAAACTCTGCGGTCTTGTTATCTCTTTTTTAATAATAATACTCGTACAATCATACAAACTTATTTAAGTATAAAATCAGCAACAGCCGGACAGAGGACATGCAATTGCAGAGCAAGTCATTTCCACACATCGTTGTCCAAAATATATTCTTCAACATTATAACAGGCCTTTGCCATTAGGGTAGCTTTTACAAAATGTTTGAAATTGTTTATATGTAGCAGTTTGTGGATGTCATCTATTTTATAAGGGTTTCGTAGCGAAAGGGTAAAGGGACCTTTTTACTAAGACTCCACTGTCTGTCTGTCCGTCTGTCAACAGGCTGTACCTCATGAACCGTGACAGTTAGACAGCTGAAATTTTCACAGAGGATATATTTCTGTTGCCGCTATAACAACAAGTACCAAAAAATAGAATAAGAAAAATTTTTAAGTTGGGCTCCCATAAAACAAGCATGATTTTTTTTGCCGATTTTTATAGATAATGGTACGGAAACCTTGTCCGCACTTGGCCGGATTTTATAAAAGTTAATACATCCACAAAGGAACGACTTTCGGGTTTTAGCCAGTCTAAACTTCAGTACTTCCACAGTGTCATCACGGCGACGCGATGTGGTATGGGTTTTTTTTTAAATAGTTGGATGTTATTAGTGATACGACGGGAGCGTTAAAACGTTTATTTGCTTAAAAAGAAGCCGCAGCGACTCACGGGGACCCAAGCCATAGACAACGTTTAGTTTACGTAGTAGAATATAAATGGAAAAAAGTTTTTTACTGTGGCAGAGTCGTGCTTGCGGCATGTCGGCTAGCTTGTCCAGTGAAGTCTAATATATAAAATTCTCGTGTCACGGTGTTTGTAATTGAACTCCTCCGAAACAGCTTGACCGATTTTCGTGAAATTTTGTGTGCATATCGGCCAGGCTAGAGAACCGGACAACATCTCCCTAAATGTTAAGGGTGTTCCCAAAAATTTTTTTCTACCCTACAAATAATTTATATGGCAAAACAACGATTGCCGGGTCAGCTAGTAGTAGTATAATATAAGTAGGAACTTTTACTTTTGAGTTAAGCCTCGTGGCGAGAAAACACACGGGCATGACCCACGGGGTGCATCAGGTGAACCGCCTGATCGTTTGTCATCTTTTTTTAATTAAAAAAAAAACCAAACGACCGTCACTTTGGGGCAAGACTGTGATTAATTCAATTTCTACATTAACATAATGAAGACACAGACAAAATTATTTATAATCACTTGATAATCAGCGAACGGTTAATAAGTTAACACGTTTATTATTAATTCACATCACTATCTCTACTTATTCAACAATAATTAATAGTTTTACTAACATGAAATAAAGGGTCACACTCACTATATATACATGTTCTATTTGATTTAAAGAGTTCCCTAGTGTGTCTCCAGAGTACAATGTCCAAAACCAATGAAATTAAGATGGGACCACATGATGGAGGCTAAACTGAACTAATGCAAAAAGATTTATTTTTAGCCGGACGTTGCGGACGTCAGCTAACAGATAAAAAAAATCAACCGAATAGAGTAATTCCTCTTTTTTTAACCTAGTTTAAAATAAAATCTTTTGATTCGTGTTTTTTTGTCTAAATAATTATCGCGTTCCAGCTTTTCGTTCCCAGCTCCCCCTCGTTATAGCAGTTCGCAGTTCTATCTGTCAAATTCTGAACAAGGTTCCTCCTTATCTGTGCATTTATGGCTAGCTGTATCGCATGTCGGTAAAGCATCACCCAGTCGCTTTCACATAATGCGACTGCAATTATCTTAAGTGTCTCGCCGCAGTTACCGTGAGCTATTAATATCGGAGGTTTTTTAATGTGAAAATGGGAAAAAATGTTCTGTGTTTTTTTTTAATTTCACCTAGCTTCACATCGATCGCTTAACAAAGGCTGTAACAGCAAATGAGGCGTACGCGTTTGTTTACGTTTCGACCTAATTCGAATACTGGTGCATGCGTTTTTTGTTTTGATGAATTGTTATAATATTTTAGTTTTTATTCTCCCATCGACGCATCGCGATGTTCCAATGATTTTTTTTTATTTTGAATGTAACGAAAACATGTTGTTGTTTGCAGAGGTATCTGAGGTTATTTTACTATTAATAAATTCATGCATAACAATCAATATTATGAACAGTTTAAAATAGGGCTCAGTAAACATGTGAACCATTTACGTCAAAAACATTCGGCGCTGGAGGATTCGAACCTGCGTCTTCCCAGACGCTTTACTAATTAGGCTAAGCGGACTACATTTACTGGTCACATTAATTTATTGTAAGGATCTTAGAGGGCTTGAAAGATTTTGGATTTCAAAGCAATATAATGTTTTGTATTAAAATTAAAGAGTAAGATATTTTCGCTATTTATTAATTTCTACAATTTGCTTTTCTCCCCGTGACTTGTTTAAAGTTTTTCTCGCAAACGAAAGCTGAAAGGAACCCTGAATTTCAATAGGGTAATTTCGACGTCAAGTTCATAAAAGTCCCTCTCATAAAATTACTGAGCTCGGATTATTGTGTCGAGGAATGGGCTAAAGAGAGCGCTCTTGTGAACCTGAGTTTTTCTCGGGGGAAAAAAAAGATCCGACCGTAAAAACCAAGCCGTCGCCCGGTAACCGGGCCTAGACTACCGCTAGGTGCTAAACGACAAGTTGGTGAACCAAGTTGTGCCTCCTTAGCGTATTTCGCACAATACAATCTCGGTCTTTGACCCGCAATTAACACTACCGCGTGACGTACCGTTAAAGTGGTCGCTGGTGCCACGCGTGCAAATTGCGCTAAACGGTTCATGTCTGCGATGCGAAAGTTTAACTTAATCATTACCGAAACACGTGCAATAAACGAATACTTTAAAGAAGATATCATAAGGCATGCGGCCAAAATGATTACCCGTTTAAATTTTTTCAAATTTCGAACGTCCCGAATCAACAACGAGCCGATCACAGATAATATAACGCGCCGAGATCCGGGGAGAATCTCCGGGCTGGCAAGCCGCGCGCCGCGCCATCCGCCGGCCGAGCGGGCCGAGAGCGGGCCGAAGCGTCAAGCGAGTCAGTCAGCATCACGCGCGCGAGTGCGGAGGGCGTGTCGCACAACGCTCCGCTGCTGAATTCACGCGCCATTTGACAGCCGCGCCGTAGCATGACATTGGTGTGTCGCAGTGTACACGGTGGACGTCCATTAGCCGCACGCGAGCCCCCCGTGACCGTCGAACGGAGTGTGCTACCGACTACTGCTAAGCGGGATGCGAGAGGTGAACGCTCGTTGCGGCGCCGACTCTCGCCGACTATTGTCTGAGTGCCGCGGAATCTTGGTCCTTCCCACCGGACTCTATCGGTGAAACGTCCGCCTCGGAGCGAGGGCCCCACGCGGTATTCCGTCCGCGGAGCGGCGACGGGAAAGCGAATTGCACGCGGGCACAGATAAGACCATTACTTAGTCCCAAAAGTGGTTTTGTTGACTTTTTTTTTTTTCAATTTGAAGCACCCCTTTCGTACTCTGACGCGGCGTTCCGTTTCTCAGGCGATGTGGAAGGCCTCGCGCCCCGTCGTGGTTTGTTTACCAACGTTTTTTGAACCAAAATCGCCCAATCGGAGTTGTTTACATTTTTTACATCAATGTTTGTTTAAATATATAATATTGAGTACAGTGCCAGTTCAAAGTTTTTAATGGTTCTACCAAATTCAAGATAAAATAACATAAGCCAAGGTTTCCTGGCTCATTAAGATATAAATAGTTTGAATTAAATCTTTATAACTTTTTATTTGGCATAGTTGTTTTCCAAGTCTTTATTAAATTTGGGCGTAAAGAGCTGACTCAATTCCTTTATGATGATGTGTATAAAGTAATACGTATTTGGTTGAACGTTGTGTATCCCGTTGTCTTGAATCAAATTGTTACCTGAATGGGTTGCTAAATTTCCCTAATCATGTCGAAATATCACGAGAAATTGAAATTTGTTCAATGATAATCGTAATTGTTATGCCTGTATTATAAGTGACTTAAAATTCATTTGAGTGCTGAAGTGCTGACCGCTGACAGCATTCACGAACGCGACTCAGTATTGCCAGGTTATTGATAAACAAAGAGTAGCAATTGTAGCGTTACAAAACATAAACAATAACATTGCCGACAACACAATGGTTAATTCGCCATTAATAACGAACGAACATGCATATCTTTTGAATTTTCATTTCACAATAAAATACTAACTGTACGCTGACGAATGAATTGTATCTGTTTATCTTATCCTCGGTTTATCGTCTATGCGAATGTTAGTCACCATAATGATTCTTTGTCGTTCGCGGAATTTATGTACGGAGAAAGAAAATGTATAATAATATTAAACTACTAAAGTTTATTTTTCTTAACATGGAAACAATAGCTTTATACGATGAACGCCTGCCAAGAAAATTACTTTTGATAGCGGGTGTCAAATACTTGTGAAATATAATATAACCTAGTTGACTCGTCGGAATATTGTCTTCTTTTTTTAAATAGTATTTTTTTAATGTAAGAAGATGGTAAACTAGCTGGCAGTTCACCCGATGTTATAAAAAGATTGTTAATAGACGCGACACCTTCTACATAACTAATGCATTTAAATATTGTTTCATCTAAAACGTTTATTTTGAGTTGTTTTTGTATTTGTAATCGTAGTCGTAGTACAAAATGTTGCCTTAATAACTAATTATTTTTGTAAAGTATAAAGGAAGTTATGCCAAAAACTCCTCTAAAAATAATTTATATGGTAAGTGATATACAATGTTTCGAGACTAGTTTCAGTTTATTCTTGCATATTCGGTAGAGAAAGAAATAAATCAAGGATAGTTTCGTTCCACGCCGGATGCATTTGTTATTCGCTAACGCCCATTTCCGAATAATAATCAAGATTTCCGATCCTGTGATCCTAAAAGTGCAAAAATGCACGAAGACAAGTCCAGTAGAAAAATTCAATGATAAAAGAAAACAAATGGTAAAAGCCTCGCAATTTAGATTAGACATCTAGGTTGTCTAAAAACACTTATTTGTAAATAATATGATATTTTATCTTTTTACCATTGAGAATGTTTTAACTTTATATACTTTAAATATGTATGGTATATTTTGAAGTGAAAGGAAGTTTTTACACTTCGATGTGTGCTATTTGTAAAGTAAGACAGATTGGTAGAGACTCGTAAGTCGTAGAGACAGTTGGGACGGAGCACGTCCTTGATGTAGTTAATTTTCAAAGATTTTACGATACATTATAATAAGGCTTTTATAAATAAGACATTTTTTACGCATTTATCGCGTTTAATGTTAATTCCCGATGTTACGAACTCTTTCAGCGTTTATGGTCATGTCATCTCCATAATGGGAAACTTGAATTTCCGCGATTCCTCACTGATACATATAAAAAGTAAAATATATTTTATAAAGTCGCAACATCAGTTATGTCACAAGAATCAGAATAAGCTACTTCTGGATATTGCTTTTCTAATATAAACGTCCCAGTTTCTCCCCCAATATCATTAAGGCTGATCCAAGCGATCTTCTTCATAAACACTACTTAGATGGTGCTTTTAAATCTATTATCTGAATCAAATCCTTAGATAATATGAATGGCATTTTTATAGCGTTCACGGATGAGGTAGTTCATTGATAGTAGGAATGCTTGTATTTACTTAGCTTTATTAACGGGCAACAATGCAAAACGTTTATAATTTGGTAGGGATATTAGATCCTTTGCCAGGACTTTAGCATTATTGCGCTAATTATCAATTAGCGGGTAATTAAATTCATTACTCGCTAGAATGAGGCCTGGAAATACGAAATTCTGATTATTATTTATTACAAAAATAGGTTATACAGGTTATTGCTCGTTATGAGAGACTATTAAGCGTAACCCGACATTGCCGGCTTCGTGTACACCCCACACGATTTAATTTGATATATCTTCGGATATTACTGATCCCTTAAGACGCATTGTTGTAATAAGGCACTTCGCAGCTGTACGAATAAAAGGGAAAGGTCGCGGCTGAAGAAGCTCACTGAAGACCGTGATGAGATTCAGAGAAGAAGAGGAGAAAAAGAGTATGCCCATGAACGCTGGAAAATGTTGGAAACTTCGGGAATTTAAAAATGAACTAATTAAACCCGGTAATAAAACGCGATAAAATCCATGACAAGTATTTCGTGACAAGTATGAGTTTATATTTTTGATTTTTGTCTGTTAAATGAGGTTTGAGGGAATAAGAGTGTTCGGACTTTAATAGGACGGTCAACGTACTTTTCACTACTCTGGTGTTGTAGACGAGTGCGAAATGATTAACAGAGTTACGTTGCAGCAGCGGTCTTTACTACCAACTTCATTCTTAGTTGAAAGCCTAAGAGGGCGCATGCCCATTATTAACAAGACCGTAAGAGTTCTCGTATTGTTTTTTTATCTCTCCGAGCCCTACGTGCGACGAAACTGTACACAGTCCTTACGATTGACAAAGAAACATTATCAAACAACGACAAAGACAGGCCATGCTTTATCGTGAGTCACCTTCTATCTAAAAGACTTTGCCACTTTCCATTTAAAAAGAGGTCCTTTGTGATTGCAATGCACTCGTCGTCGGAACACGTAGTCGCGTTAATTATTCGTCAGTTCGGAGATAACTGGAACGATGGATCCGGGTGGCCTCAAACAAGGACAACATGCAAAGATAGGGCTTACGAGGATTGGAGTATTTTGAGGAAATCGCGGACTGTTTATAGTCTCTACCGTACTTCGCATTCTGACATCAGCGGTACGAAATATTTCGAAATTTTTGAAAAGTTTGCGATCAGGTGTCTAACATAATTAATTCTTTCCATTCTCAATAAAACTATTATCCAAAAGACCGAGGTTAATATTCCGCAGCGTACAAAGTTCTTGTCCATATATGTTTAGAAATTATACTAACTTTTAATTTATTTATCTACAAAATTCACATTTTAACTTATATTGAGTACAGAGGCTAGAACCAAAATTTATATTAATCATAAAACAGTTTTTTTCAAAACAGATGGGTACAAATATATATTCAATGAGTAGCAGCAAATTTTAACTATTTACATACATTCTTTCTTTTTTTTAAAACATTGCCCTTAATTTATGCCTGCGTTGTAAGGAAATTTTACAAACATAAATTTCACGCGGGGAAACACCCATTAGTTTAGTTCTAAGGTACATATTTTTTTATTATGAATTGTGGAAATAATGGACTATCCAAAAAGTAAAGGGGCATCGTCTTTTAGAGGGTAGATGTGATTTACAATGGGAGAGACATACTTAATAAAGTGTCATAGTAAGATGGAGCCTGTTGAGTGCTTGAGTATTGTCCTTGATGCATACTTGACCTACTTAGTGGGCAAGTGATGTTAAATCTGACCTCTACTTGAAAAAATCGCACCATACATTTCGTTTAACCGCCTGCGAACGCTCATTGAAGCTTAAATGCAAGACTTACAGATAAAATGAAAGAATACAATACGTTCCATTGTTCTATTATATCATGCTTAAAGGAGATAAGTAGATCACTGTTTTAATAGCAGTAATGAGTAGTATTTCTAGATGAAAATATTTTTTCGGATTCGTCGCATTTATTTTTCATTTTAATTTGTGGCGTTTCAAATGTTTTGCAGCATTAACGGCCACGGGACAGACAATGGGACAGAATTTCCCGTTCATGACGTCAAATGACGTCAAATTTTAATTTCCTATACTTCCAATACAGACAAACGTCGGGAATTAAAGTTAACATGAACTCGATAAATTGGCCTAAAACAGTTTCATTTAGTAATTCGAGTAGGGATAAAACGTAATGAGTATATTTAGCGCATCAAATCGAGCTATATTAGTTCAACAAATTTCATAGTGAACGAGCAACCCAATCGTTCATCCTTATTACGGGCGCCGCTACGCCGTTGATTGCGATTTTAATTGCCACTACTAACGAACCACGTGTCTGGCATCGATAGAACACCGCGCAGACGTAAACTCGCGCGTTCGAGAGGGAACAAATTAAAAACGGCGCAACGGACTTATGCCCGGTTCCTATATTCAACGAACGGCCGTAGTTACACAGCTTCGTAATGTTCATAACGACTTGTAGATAAAAGGCGTGTACGCCCGGTTCATGTATTAACAAAACGAGGCGTTTTCCCTACGAGCTCTTGCATTACCTACGGAAAGTGAGTTAGTAGCGTTCCTTTAATCTACAATTCGTTATGAAAGTAACGAAACTATGTAACTAACGGCCGCACGTTGATTATAGGAACCGGACATTAGTAGTGGCGCCGTAAACCCGTGGGACGAATAAAAAGCTACCGCCGATGTTGCACAAGTTGGCCGCGTCCGTTCGCTTTAGTGAATGAGTCACACATGGCCGAACGCGATGCATTGTTGAATTATGCAAACGAAGCGAGCTGTAGGAACGAGGCTTCGAAGAGACGCACGTCCGAATGGAATGAATCACCGAGGATAATAGTTACGCGATCGCAAAGCGATTGTAGGCCGCGTCCGTCCCGCTCCGAAGGACAAAATGCCACGGTGGAAGGACCAAAATTCCTGTTAGTACGGCAAAGACAATGGCCGCTAAAAGTCAAAACGCCAAAACCGACAGAGTGCGAGCGTTAATCGTGTCTTTTGTATCTTAGATTGTTTGTTCGTATTTCCAACGTCACCGTTGAAAGTTCCGAACTGACTTGGGTCGAGGCACTCGTTACGTATAGACGTATCTAAATATCGGGGTAACATTTCGACGCTTTTGTGCGATGCTGATAAGTACTAGCTAGTGGGTGTGTGTGCGTGTGCGTGTGTGCGTGCGTGAGATGGCGCCAAGTGCGCTGTCGCTGTCGGCCGCCCTCGTGTTACTGCTGGATGCGGTGTCAGCGCACTACACTCCGACATGGGCAGTCCACGTGCCTGGGGGCAAGGAGGCAGCTGACGCGGTGGCCTCCGAACATGGGTTCATCAACCTTGGAGAGGTAAGCCACAGATTATATTTGCGAAACATTTTCTTTTCCCACAGATTACTACCAAAAGTGAGAGCTGGACAATTACTTAATAAGTCTTTTTCATAGATTACATTCAAAAACAGATAACTCTTGGAGGAGAGTAAAGAAAAACATCCTCAATCTCTGATCAGAAAACCATGAAATGATATTAGGAATTGGGGAGATAATTTCATTTTATGTCCATTAGTGTTATTTCGCTTGGAATTAGGGATGACCCAGCACGCATGAAACTTTACTTATGTCCCATAGCCGTGTAATTTAATTAAGTTTTCTTGGCCCAGACGCCAGTCAGATGGTAAATTGACAAAATAAACAATGACGTAAGAAAACAAAGATTGTCGACTTATAAATTGACACGTTTTCTGGCTTCCCATTGGTTGAATAGTTGTTTGATATTATATAAATATTTATATGCATGCCACATAAGCGATCTTCTAAATTTCGTAGGCGAAGATCATTTATTTATAAACACTAACTACACCATGGGAATTGTAAACAAAGTTAAATGAGATGGAAGTTACCTGTTAAATGCAGTTTTTGAGTATATACTAGAAATCATAAATACTACTACCACAGTCCTATCACACAGGAGCTCCTGATGTTGCATAAATATGCATAAATATGCAACATCAGCAGCTCCTGCTCCTAGTCTGCCCATGTGGGCGGACTAGCCCGCAGAGTTGTAATGAATGACATGTCTTCAAGGTAAGAGTGAATAGGTTTTTACTGAGCTAGCGCGCTTATCATCAACAGCTGCACCGCTGGTTACCATCAGGTAGGATGGCAGTCAAGTAGTGCTGGCCAGTGAATTAAAAAAATAAATAAATTACCACGGCTTTACAGAATTTTATTACACTTTTACGTTGTCCAATAGGTTCATATTTTTAAAGGTTAAAGAAGGATAAAACACTATACAAAACTATTAAGACCATTGTTCTCTACACGTATATCTGTCACATATATAAGGCTATAAATACAGAGGTACTTAAGCAAATAATCAAAGCAAAATGTGACCTCATCCATAATTGATTTGAGTTCGGTTCTTATGTGATGTTCCAGATGAACGAATTGCTTTTGCCCGTAATGTTACGAAACGTTTGAACTTCGAACTCAAATTCGTTTAGAGGAATTGACCGCTGAGTGATGATGGGGTCGTCTACCCAAAATGTCTAGTTGTACCTTATATTAGCTATCATTACTTATCTTCATTCGGTTGCTGTTATATATTACTTATTTATATCCCCCACAAATTCTCGCAACCTGTGTTTTTCCGGTGTTTTTCGAACTCTACCGCTTTTACGTTTGTTAACCTTTTGTTATAAAACACCTCAGTGCTGGTTGTGCCTCATTGCGAATTATTTCAATTTTACACTGTTGAAAACTATGGACGGTTAATCCGATTTCGTTAACGATGAATTATAAAATGTAATTTACGCGTGATAATTCGATTCACAGCCCTCAGTCCCATTTTCAATTTCGCCGTGTGATATTCGTAAAAACGGCTTAACTCCAATTTGACGCTTTGATGAGTCAATCACATAAAAAAAAAACTTTTGGATTTAGAAACGTATCTAATCGATTTTGCTAACGACCGGTTTCAATATTCTAACTATCGGTAGATTTAGTTACTGGAGATAGAATTTTGATTCAAGTATTATAATGTCAAATACCTATCGCTAGTAACCAAATCTATAGATAGATAGAATATTGAAATCAGCCGGAAGTCTATTCTACTTATGGTGTGCCATTATATTGCTGAGTAAAAGGTCTCTAAATGTTTTACGAAGAAAAAAGATTTTAGCCAAAGGCGTCTTGCAGAACAAATTGGGATTTCCGCATCGGGGTTGGAATGAATAAAAACGTTAATAAAGGGTTATCTTTTTGCCGTTTAGTTCTATATCATTTATTGATAATTTTTACTAAAGTTTTCTTAATTTCCTAATGCATAGAAGTAGTATGTCATTAGAGATATTTAGGGAAAGGCATCGTTGCTTCTCCAGAAATTTAGTGGGTTAGAGTCGCAGCAGGTTTTTTTTAGATTTTTTTTAAAACATTGTCCTTATTTTAGCATAACATTATCCAGTGTTGTAAGGACATTTTACAAACATAAATTTCACGCGGACAAACACCCAAATGCGAAACAACTCTCTGTGGGTCACACAAATAGTTATCCCGTGTGGGATCTAACCCACGACCCCCGATGCCGAAGCCTATGCCTTGGCGACGGCGCCACGGAGTCATCAGGTCGCCAGTTTTTGTTAGGTAAGTGAGGTAACCGGGGCCACCTTCTTAAATTTGTCAACTGCAATCTCACGGGAGTTTGTGGGCGGCGGTAGTCGTTTATCTTCAGGTAACGCTTTACCTTGCTAATTTTTCACCGTCTTCAGTAAAAAATAGATTTAGCTGTTTTATATTTTAACAGTAGGTAGCTTCTTTAGTAAAGATTCTATATCTGTGGCAATCTGTCTCTCTTATATTGATCAAATTCTCTCTAATTGGCATTTAATCGTCCGTCAGTAAAGACAAATGACGACGCATTTATTAATACCACTTGTGTCGCTGTTTGCAAGCTTTGATCAATTAAATACAGTTTATACTTTATTGTTCAAGTACAATTTATTAAATTTTATATCATCTGCAATTTTTGGGGATATTTATGAGTCAATTCAATAGTCAACACTGTATGCAACAAATTTTAATGAATGAATCGAGTAAATTTGAATTTGTATTTATTTTTGTTCCATGAGCCGTGATAGCTCATTTTCCGGGCGCTCGCTTTAATTCCATATACTCGAGCAACGTGAGTTAGATCTCCGGTGTCGCCGCTAATGAAATTGTTAATTTTTAGTGCTATAATTCATGTCACATCGTGAGGAAACCTGCGTATTTTCGAAATAATAACAAAAAAAAAATTCCGAATAGAAGTGAGGTCCGCCATACCGCAGTGGAGCCGCGTGGAGGACTATGCCCGGATACCCCTTTTACATAGGAGGCCTTTGCTTAGCAGTGGGACATTTATAGGCTGTTACTTTACTTTTTTGTTCCATATTCTTGTTTATAGACATAACCCAAAATCTGTATTACTGTAGGTTTGTAGCTCAGGAAGCGTTAGTCTGATTTAAATTATCTGTTTCTGGTTTCGAAATACATCCTGTGCAGTTTCCAGTAAAGTTGGTCGCGATAGGTTAAAGAGTTCATCGCACGCTAACGCAGCTAGTATTATAAAGAGGAAAGATTTGTTTGTTTGCATTGAATGGGCTCCAAAACTACTGAATCGATTTGTAAAATTCTTTCACTGTTGGGAAGTTACATTATTCTCAGGTGACATACGCTATATTATATTTTGAAAAAAATTAGGGATCCATACTAAAACTCCAATAATGTAACCCAAGGTGTACAAAAATTACCTAAAATATTCTTTTCATCACGTGCGCTGCCAAAACTATTGCGGATAAAACGAAATAATGTACTATATCGTTAATAAAAACAATAAAAGTAATTAAACTAAATGAAACAACCTTGGGGTTTCGCGTTGTTAAATACGAAACGGAACAACCAATTATACGGGAGGAAATTTAATTTAAGTGTCAAGTTAACCCATTCATTAATCGTTTCGCGCGTTTGTTTTGCTTCTATTGTAGCTGAATAGGATTTTCTTTGTCCCGCTCCCGCCAACACGAATTTGCATATTCGGAATGGGCAGGAGCTACGCTCTGATTGGGATGTTCGTCAGTACGTTTGCAGATGTATTTTTGTCGTGTACTGATTTACAAAACGAATCGAACAGAGTTGCATAATGTTTTTTGTCTTTATTATTACGAAACGAGACTTCGGAGTGAAGGAAAAGCAATCTTTTTTTTATGTGAAAAGTTGCCAAACGAGCAGACGGTTCACCTGATGTTAAGTGAATACCGCCGCCCATGGACATCTGCCACACCCGAGGGTTACAGATGCGTTGACAACCTTTTGAAAATTGGGCTCCGGCTACCTTACTCACCAGACGAAACGCGAAAGTATTTGTCATACTTCCACTTTACGCTGGCCTTCTGTGAGGTCGTGGTACTTACCCGCACGGGCCTGCCCATTCGTGCAACAGCCGAAGCTGCTGCGTGGCCCTACCAATTTTAAGGGATTGTCTTCGGAATTTTATCAGTTATACTTTTCTAATATGTGCAAACGGGAAAATATGTGATCTTTCGTATTTTGAGTTAACCTATTGAGTATGTTTTTATTTATTTAAAAGGCTTACCAACTAAATACATAAATAAAATTATAACGTTTAAAATAAAATAATTATTATATAATAGTTGTGTTACCACCTTTCTCTTTATAACATTGAAGCTATCAATTAATATATTATTACACAATTAATATTATTTTGTAATATACTCATAGAATAATATAATTATAATGTTCGCTAAAACTATTCATTGTTCAAAAACAACGCTTCACACAAGGTTTACAGTACATTACACATACAATGGTTTGTGGTCGTTGCAATACGCTCTATTGCTTAATCTGTTATTGAACTAAATTTTAAATTAAACAATAGGTTGTCAACGCATGTTCAACCCTCGGGTTTAGCAGATGTCCATGGGTCCACTTAACATCAGGTGAACCGCCTGCTCGCTTGGCAACTTTTACATAAAAAAGTTAGTTTTTATCAGTGTCTAAAATTGTTCGGTCAGCATGTACCCGGGTGAATTTTAAAGTGTTACATTTTTTTCTGAATTCACAGCGTCTTCAATGACACCGTGGCACGAGAGTACAATACAGATATTTTTACACGTTGCTCCCAGCGAAACGGTTCACTAAAACGCGTTACAAACGGAAAGCGTGGACGCGCGTGGCCATATGTAACCGTGCGATGCGATTTGCGGCGGGATGTCGTGTGAAGTAAACCGCATCCCTAAACGTGCGCCGAGATAAAATTAGAAGCGTATTTCGGTATAAGCGCCGGATTCGAGGAC